TTATTTAGAAAATATTTGCATGTATATACATTTATATTCTTATATTTTATATTATATATAAATATATTTAATATATAAACATAACATATTTTTCTTAAATATATACATGCATGTGTTTGTATTTATATATACATAATATACACAGTACACACACATATATTATGTAAACAAAAACTTTTATTTTGGATGCGATTAATCGCGATTAATCGTTTGACAGCACTAATATTTATTTATATAAATATATATTTAATTTAATAATACATCTAAATCAAATAATATTTCATTTAAATGTACTAATAAATCTAAATAAATCAATGCTTATATTAAGTATTGATAAAGCTGTACTCAATTTAAATACTTTGTGCATAATAAATTACAATTATACTAATTTAAAATGTAATAATAAATGTAAATAAATCTATACTTAATTAAAATATTATAATACATTAAAATAAAGTTATACTTAATTTAAATGTAATAATAAATGTAAATAAATCAATACTTACATTTAATACTAGTACATTTTAATGAATCTAGCCTTTAAATTTAATAATACATTTGAATAAGTGTAAAATCATTTATTACATTAAATGAAAATCACATTGGCTTCAACTTTCATTTCCATTTTTATTTTGCACCAATTTCCCAGGAAGTGACTATTTTATTCAAATGTTGCTGAATTCAAAAACGCTGTATTGCATAAACTGAATCTGCAGCTTGTCATTCTAAAATCTATTTTATTTTATTTTTATCTAATTAAATTCTTGAGAATTATAGTTATCACATTTAACAACTTCATTATTTTTATTACTATTTCAGTTGTCAACCACAGGACTACTTAAATGACCTGCAGAAAATCTCGATGTACACTTTCCCGTACGCATGCAAAAATTCTATTTTTTTATTTTAAATAAAAATTTTAAACCGAAGAAAATGGAATGCCTGCGCTTCCGTTAGTGACATCACTGGCGAGCAGCGCTACCTTCTCGATGATGTCGAGCAGACTGCTGAAGTGATGCGTGCTGCAGCCCTCGGCGAGATCCACCAGCAGCTGCGTGGCTTGTTTCCTGACGGACAGATCTCGATCTTCAGCGATCTGACCCAGCTGAGGAATCACCACCACCTCGATCAGCTCCTCCTGGTCGCAGAGAACACAGACGATCAAGACAAACAGCAGGGACCTCACGAACGTAAGGACATGCCTGCTTGGTTTAGGACTGACCTCATAGAGCTGCCGGTTTGTGCTGAGCACGAAGGACAGGATGTGCAGAACCTTGATCCTGATCACAGTACGGCTCTCATTCCTGACACACACGGAAAGAGAGAGATGCTATTCCCAGGGTTTCGTTTCAAATGTGACTTCAGTGAATATGATGAAGTAGCCAGACCTGAAGAACTTCTCCATGAGTTTCAGCAGGTTCTGCAGCCATCCGTCTTTAGCCGGCTGGATGGACTGAGCTCTGTAGGAAATCAGCGTCAGCACAGACGCATCCTATCGGACAGACCCAACAACAGCCAATCAAACCAAAATAATGCAATTCATTTCAATACATATATACTTACTTAACATGGAATAATACATTTAGTCAATGTGAATATCCTCATTCATTTATACTTAAATTAATTGTAATTATAAATTTAAATAAATATATACTTCATTTAAATGTAATAATATATTTTAATTTAAATTAAATGTAGTAAGTTTAAATACATGTATACTTTCTTTAAATTAAATAAATTAAATCTGAAAATCCTCTTTAATTTATACTTTTATTTAATTTTAATAATGAATTTAAAGGTATACTTCAATTAAATTTTATAATATATTTTAATAAAAATTTAATAATAAATTTATATTTTCTTAAAATTTAATAACACATTTTTCAACCTGAATTTCCTTAATTAAATTTGAATAATGAATTTAAATAAAATGTACATTTTAATTTGATTTTAAATTCAAAATAAATTTAAACGTATTTAAACTTTCTTTAAATGTAATAAATTTAGTCAATCTGAATATCCTCCTTAATTTACACTTAATTTAATTTTAATAATGCATTTAAACAAATCTATACTTGATTTAAATTTAATAATACATTTTAATGTAATTTAAATGTATTAATAAATTTAAATATATTTTGTTTAAATTTAATCATACATTTCTGAATATCCTCCTTAATTTAGCAACAAATTACGTCAGTCTGAATATCCTTAATTTATACTTATACTATAATAAATTCAAGTAAATATATACTTAATTTTAATTTAATAACACATTTTAATTTAGTTAAACTTTTAATAATACATTTAAATAAATGAATACATTCAACAACAGTCAATCAAACCAGACGGCTTCAGAAGAGGTCAGACAGACAGAGAGCAAGCGAGCGAGTGAAACTCACAGGGCGTTTATCAGCACACTTCTCCACCAGACTGAAGAATCTCTGCAAGGATCCGTGGAAGTCGCTCTGCTCGTACAGCTCCTCGACGGTGCTCAGTAACTCATAAACAATCACCTTCAGATCAGGACTGCCCATCGTCTGAGTGCACACACGACATGTATGAAGAGCGTCAGGATATAAACAACGACAAAACATCTCAGTGTGTGTGTGTGTGTATGTGTGTGTGTGTGTGTCTGTGTGTGTGTGTGTGTGTCTGTCTGTCTGTGTGTGTGTGTGTACCTGTATCTGCTGCAGGAGTCTCTCTATGATGGACAGCAGGATGTCCCACGTCACGACCTGCAGCTCTCTGCCGTACTTCTTGATGAGTCGCGTGATCGACAGCACGATCTCGTAGGACACTACCTCATTAGCACAGCTCATGGCCTGGGCACAGAGGTCAGAGGTCAAACACTAGTAGGTCTCATAATATATATAAAAACACAGACTGGAGGCAGATTTGCAGACACCTTGCAGAAGGAAGGCAGGACCAGAGTGGGCGTGTTTTTGAGGGCAGGAAGTCTGTGAGCTCCCCACAGCGCCATACCAACAAAAAACACAGCACCCCTGAGAAGAGCGGCGTGATCAGTAAGACTTGTAATGTTTTATTATAGTATTATAATAATAATAATAACTACGATTATATAAAGCAAAAAAATTGCTAGTGAAAATCTACCTATTTTAAAATATAAAAAAATAACTATTATTTTTATCAAGTAAACAAGTATTGTTGTTATTATTATTATTATTATTATGAAGAAGAATATAAAAGTAATATATATTTGATGTATTTATAAAAGTGTATATTTAAGATAATAATAATAATAAATATATTTATGAATTTATATATACATATAGATTTTTTTAATAACAATATTGTATTGTTATTATTATTATCATTATTAACAACATACATTTTTATTTATACAGGGCATTTCTAAGTAGTTCTTAGTAAATAAAAACTAGAGAGTAAAGAACAAAAGGAACAAATAAGAAATATAGAAAAAAAAATACAGAATAAAAATTTCACTACTGAAATTACTATATTAAACAAAAAGCATGAAAAACTGTGAAATCAAAAGAGTCACACATTATTTATTAGACTATTGCCACTTACAACTAACCTAAACTAAATAACTAAACTTACTAACTAAACCAAGAAAGTGCACATAATGTATTTTATTATAGCTTACTGACTCTCTGACCAATCACAAATCTGTCTTTGTGCTCTTCAGGAGACTACTGTAATGTTCATAACAGCTTCAGAGCAAAACTGACTTATGTGGACTGCTACTGAAACACAAGTCAGTCAGTGAGTACCTCTCCTCCATGATACGGCACATGGTGTATATGGCACTGTGACCCAGGTGAGTCCCCAACACTTTACGCATCAACTAGAGACACGACCAAACAAAAACAACAACAGAGAGGTCAACGCTTGCTTATGAGCTGCACCATCAATACATGATGTGATATATTAAACTCAACTGAATATTTTCTGGGTGTACCTTCCAGCAGGATTCACAGAACTCCTTCACGTTGACGGTTCGGCACAGTGTGATGATGAACACCGTCAGAGAGTCAGAGGGCAGGCAGTTATAACACACCACCGCGTCCAACACCTGCAGCGCAACCTACACACACACACACGGATAAACCCATGATTCAGCCATCACTGATTTTATGGTAATCCTAAAAGACTGAACCAAAGGCCACTTTTTTACCTCAATATCTGTGGAGCAAGTCGTCCGGTTACACAGAAGGCAGATTTTCCTGTGAGAAACAAATCAGTGATGTTAGTGTGTGTGTGTGTGTGAAAACCCTCTTATATGTGCTTTTCCTTCACTATTTTGACCAAATCAACATTTGTTTAATAAAAAAACTATTTTTCCAAAGAAATTCATGTATAGACAAATTTACACTAGCATTCAAAAGTTTGGGGTCAGTAAGATTTTTTCATGTTTTTGAATGAAGTCTCTTCTGCTCACGGAGGCTGCATTTATTTGATCAAAAATACAGTAAAATTGTGAAATATTATTACAACTAAAAATAACGGTTTTCTATTTCAATATATATTAAAATGTAATTTATTGCTGTGATCAAAGCTGAATTTTCAGCATCATTAACACTACTGAGATCACTAGAGCTGACAACATTACAACAATTCAGCTGTTCATAACAACACTAATGATATTTCACAACTCTCAATCCTAATCTCAATACAAAAGCAAAAAAAATTGTTAGAGAAAATCTGCCTTTAAAGGTTAAATATTTATTGAAATATAAACATACTAAAAATAACGGTTTTCTATTTCAATATATATTAAAATGTAATTTATTGCTGTGATCAAAGCTGAATTTTCAGCATCATTACTCCAGTCTTCAGTGTCACGTGATCCTTCAGAAATCAGTCTAATATGCTGATCCGCTGCTCAAGAAACATTTCTGATTATTATCAATGATGAAAACAGTTGTGCTGCAATATGTTTTTGTGGAAACCATAATACTGTATTTTCTGATGAAAGGAAAGCTCAAAAGAACAGCATTTATTTGAAACAGAAATCTTCTGTAAATGTCTTTACTGTCACTTTTGATCGATTTAATACATCCTTGCTGAATAAAGTATTTATTTCTTTAAAAAACACAATCCTACTGACCCCAAACGTTTGAACTGAAGTGTATATATATATATATATATATATATCTGTCTACAAGTCAAAGTTCAAGCATTTAAGCAGAAGCTTTCAAAAGGTAATGAGAAGCGTAAGATCATTTGCGTGTGTTTTCTTACTGGACCATGAGGGAGACGTTCTCATCCAGGTAGCAGGAGTTGAATTTGACCAAGTTCACGAGGACATGCAGGAAATCTGATGACAGACCGATGTCCATCCACAGCAAGACAAACCGAGCTAAGAGAGAAAACACACACAAACACTCTGCGTGTGACGCTAAACAAACCATTCATTATATAGAAAACCACAGCTCCAACATTTGTTACATATCTTCTTTTGTGTTTCACAGGTCGGAGAAAGAAAGTCATACAGGAGAGTAAATACATGAGGCTGAGAAAATGAGTTTTTTTCTTCTCTTTAACACAAAAGAAGATATTTTGAAGAATGCTGAAAACCAAACAGCTGCCGGTAGCCATTGACTTCCATAGTATTTTTTCCCATACTATGGAAGTGAATGGCTACCGACAACTGTTTGGTTTTCAGCATTCTTCAAAATATATTATTTTGTGCCTAGAAAAGAAAGAAACTCATACAGGTTTGGAACAACTTGAGGGTGAATAAATAATGACAGAATTTTCAGTTTTGGGTGAACGATCCCTTTAAAGAACACCAGCATGTGTGATCCATACCGATCTCCTCCTCTAGGTAGGTGATGTCTTTCCCGTTCTCCGTGAGGGCCTTGAACACCTCCAGTCTCTCGGACAGATCTTCATTACAGGGCTGATAGTCCAAAACGATCTTAAAGAAGTAGGCTCTGAGCGGACCCAAGCGCTCACCCTGCACAAGAAGATCATGAGGAAAGCGTGAGTGGTGTTTGCCAGCATTAGGCATGGGCCGGTATGAGATTTTGACGGTATGATAACCTTAAGCAAACATATCACGGTTTCACGGTATCACGGTATTGTCGTTACAGTTCTAAAATGTGTTATTTTTAAATGACTGGGTAAAAAAAAAAAAAAATAATTTTCCGCTGAACACAATATATTTTGTTTTTGAGCAACATACAGAATATTAGGAACAGTAGAATTTGTTTATTTTTTCTTTAATTTGTTTCATAAAAAGAAGAAAAATAAAGACTGACATCTTTA